AAAAAACAAAAAGAATGTCTGATATAAATATAAATAAATATTTATTTGTTTAAGTTAATAAAAAAAAGATAGTGATGATAATTGTCTCTGTCTAAAATATAAATTTGAGAATATTTTTTATTAGTTGAAATAATAAAAATCTAAAATCGATTAATTTTAACAAGTTCATTTATTTATCTCTGATTATCAATCGTCACGAAAATCATCTATCGGATTTATCTCTCGATTTCTAATAGAATTTTTTTGTCTTATAAGTCTCTTGTTCATTTTAATGCAAACTATTTATTTGATTTACATCTAATTTCAATCTATAATATCAATTCTATATCGATCAACTCTCAACACATAATTATTATTAAAATATAGTTCAAATCTGATTGTTAATCAGATTGATTGTCTCTTTCCTATACAAATCAATATGAGTAAAACAAGTTTGACGGTTCTCTTATCATAGATTCTAACGTAACATTTAGCTAAGTACTGTTCTGTGTCTATTACCGAAAGTAAACTCATCATAGTTGACTTCTAGCTAGTCGCTGCTACATTGATCAAAAAGGTGGCATTAACAAATTGAAATAGGTTTCGAATTAGTTTCAATTGTCGAAAGGCTTTTTATTTTCAATGTATGAACGGGGAAAAACGCAAAAGATAAAGTTAAAAGTTCCACTAAGAAAATCTTATGATGAAAAAACATAATGAAGGTTTGAGAAAGAAAAACAAATTTATTTTATGTTCGATTTGATAAAAAAAGTTTGTTGTCCAATAATTGAAATAAGATTATTTGTTGGTTTTGTTTGTTGTTGTTGAACAATTGAATATAATAATTTAATTAATTGATTAGCTTGAGATATGAATGTTAAATATTGATTAAAAGAAATTGTTTGATAATCATTCGATGTAATATGTTGATTTGCTGTTAATAATGTTAGATTTTGAGAAGATTTTGAATATTAATTTTCATTTAATGAATTACATAAGTCATTTAATTGAAATTTATTTTCTAAAAAAAATCTTTCATCAATTATACAATTTGTTAAAACAATTTCATCATATTGACGATTTATATCACGAATTGTTTCCAAATAATTAAATTCATTTAAAAAATCTTCTTTTTTTATCAAGACGTTTAAATAAATCATTTTTTAAATGTTGTTCGATTATTGATCGACACATATTCGATGAACAACAATACATCATACATAATTTATCGATTATGCTTCCATCATTTGAACATAAATCATTTAAACAACAACTTTAACAAAAAAAAATGCGGAAACTTCGGATTTAAATCCGAGAGTTATGTGTACTTCAAAAAGTGAATCATACAAATCAATCATCCTAGACTGTCTGAATATCAAAATTATACTGTGAAATCTACCATTTATAATGTTGATTTCTATTGCGCGTTGCCAAACCAATAGGACATGGGACCGAATACAGCTCAAGTCTGAACTTTTTCCCTTGATTTACCCTAAGAAAGTCGTTTTTTCTATAACTTCATTTCTATTGGTCACTGCACAACTAATAGTATTTCGATGGAAGTGCAGTACACATTCGAGTTCTCCATATCTGAAAACCTCGAAGTATCATCAGTGTGACCGGAAGATAAAGCTCTATTTGTGGATCAATTAGATTGTGGACCAAAATATAACCTAGTTCTCTTTAATTATCCTTGTCATTGCTAAGTCAACCTTCTTGTTTCTTTATGTTTTATATATCATTTTGTAGCTCTTGAAATTCTCTATCGAATGGTATATAATAGTTGGGGTTTTAATTGACTATGATAGGAAAAGTCTTTTACGAAAGTCGCGATGGGTCCATTTTTCCACAGAAAGCTATAGGGAAAAATGGGTATTTTTACAATAACTCAGGAACGGCTCGGCCGATCCTTCTCATCTTCGAACTCGACCGAGACATTGTCAAGACTAAGCTGTGTAGAAAGTTTCATCGCAATCTGACTCTGCCGTCAAAAGTTATCATGTAAACAGCCAACCGGACGGACGGACACACTAACTATTCTATAGTGTACTCACTTTTTGAGTACACAAAACTATGATTCAGTTCAAAACTAATATTAGATTCAGAATCAGCGTTAAAAACTGAGTCGATTTATATATTTTGTGAATAATTATGAGCAAAAAATTTTTTTTCGAAAAATCCCCGTACCCCCCCTCAGGGATGGTCTGGTCAAAAATCACAATTTTTTAGATAACTCAGCCATTTCTTGGCGGATCCTTCTCATCTTCGAACTCGACCGAGATATTGTCAAGACTAAGCTGTGTAGAAAATTTCATCGCAATCTGACTCTCCTTTCGAAAGTTATCGTGTTAACGGCCGGACGGACGGACACACAGACCGATTTTAGTAGTGTACTCACTTTTTGAGTACACTAAAAAAACAACACTTTTCTTTTTTTTTTTAATATCTTTTTATTCAATTTATTAGATTTAGTTTAATTAAATTATTTCGATTATTATATATTTATTCGTTTTGACTAAATAATTCAAATTAGTTTGATTTTGTTGACAACAAATATCGATTTCTAATATAATAAACAACTCGAACAATAGATATTCGATTTATGAAACTCTACAGTTAATCTATCATCGTTTCAACGAAACATTTTTCCATAGTTTAATTAAGAAAAAACAAGTAGAATAGATTGAATAACTCGTTTAATATGATGAAATATAATTTCTAATACGAATACAATCATTATTTGTAAATCTTGGTTATAATTATATTATTTATAAATGATTATTAATCGATTGTTCATAGTTATAACTATAATATCGTTTAAACGATTAAATTTCAAAACATGATTTGAAATAATCGTTAATCATATTCGATTATTTACGTTTTCATCGATTAATAATCATATTGACAAGAAAATTGGTTTTTTTTCTAAGTTATCGATAGATATATATGTGTTCGATAAAAAAAAAATATTTGAAATGATTTTTATTTAATAATATATTGATAAATCTCGAAATAAAATATTTAATTAAATTTAATTCTATATCGAACAATCGAAAATTGAATTTGTTTCAGATCTTATCTCAAAGACTTTTAAATAAAAATCCATATTATAAAATAGATTTTTATTTTAAAGAATTCCAACGAGTTTTTAAAAGTAAATTGACATAATCATAAATAAAAGAAAAAACTAGAAATAAGTAAATGAAATGAAGCAATCAGATCATTGCTGGTTGATGGATAAATTGTTTTAGCTAATGCATATATTGTCCATATAAGTGAATATAAATCTTGATGTGAACATTTGTTTAATTTATTTTTTGTATTTAATTTAGGATGTATTTGATTTGATGTTCTTTTATATTGATTTCCACGGAATATTTCAATAAATATTTTTGTATATTTTTCAAATATAATTGATCATATATTAAAAACATGTTCAACACGATCGATTTTTGATCGAATTGAATCAGGTAAATTGGCCATATCTTCCCATTTATGTAATTTATCAAGAAATAAAAAAAAGAAATAATTCTAAATGATTAGCACTTTTTTATAAACGTGATATTGATATTGGATTATTCTGATTTGTTCTTAGATGTTTACATCTTCTACATGATACATATAATGAAATAGCTAACCAATGTAATTGATCACCTACTAAAACATAATGTTTACGACTATGTTCATATCAACGCCATGCATCTAACTTTGTTTTCATATCCATATTTAAATCAAGATATGATTTTGAATATACCATTTCAATTGATTCATCATCTTTATTTGACATTTTAGCTTTTTTTTATTCTAAAATAATCAAAAGAAAAACAAAATGATTGACATTGGGTGTGGGTATGGAAGTGAGATGACACTGAAGGAAGCCACCTCAATACCCACTCAGGATGTGAGTGTGGGTGTAAATCTGCATCTAGGCCTGTGTGTTGGTATTTCTTTCACTCATACCCAAGATAGAAACGAAATGTTTTTGTTTTGCTGATTCATAAAGTGTGCAACAAATATCCATGTTTCCATTCATTTACGCAAATTGAAAAAGAATCAGAAGGCCATCACTATCATCCTCATTATCATTAAAATGGACAAGAAAAATTTTAAACCATATGCTAGTGGCACATCGCCGTCTACGACAAGTAAGTCAAATAAGTCATTCATAGCTGCAGCATCAACGATAGTTGTGAGTAGAAGAGCTGGGTGTGGGTATGAGTGCCTTTTTTTGTTGAACACCCACATATACACCCTATTAGAGCTGTAACAGTATCAAGAAGCGATCAATATTTATGTGTCTATTCTTATCTACATAAAACTGTGCATGGGTATAAATAGAAAGTTTTTTTTTGTTTAATTTAGAAGAAGTCGATGGCCAAATAAAGGTTATACCTTCAATAATAAGTTGTTTCGTTGCAATAGGATTGTTATCAGTGACTATTATGATCACATCAACGATGAATTTCTTTCTTTATCACCATCTATCGTTGTTTGACATCAAATAAAATCACTTAGTATTATACTCAACCATTCAATTCAACTCATCTTTGTCTTTTTGCAAACGACTAATCTACGTACTCTGGAACTGCATTATAGATCAGAATATGATACTAAACGTTATTTAAAAGAGGAAAATTTAATCTATCTATTTGATAATATTTCTTTGTGCAGAATGCTCATGTCAAATGGCTTACGATAACTCAATCTTTTTCCTGTTTTGTGACAACCAAATTAGGTAAACATTGCCTATTTAATTGTCGAGCGACTTCCTCATTTGCAAGTCATTGAAGTATCACATTTACTTATCAACAATCTTCCGAAATTAAAATTTCTTATTATTAATGGCGAAGATGAATATGATCAACTTTATGAGAAACAATTGCATGATCTGAAAAGTTCAAATACTCATTCTTTATACACTTTTTGTATGATTATAATAAAATGAAATTGCTAATATTTCTTTATTTCTTTGTACTTAGACTTGTTTTTGTGAAAGGATCATAAGAAGTTTTCAACATGAATAAAGCAAAACTTTTTAAATTTTGTTTCGTAAGTTCAATCAGATGAAAAGATCTTCTGTGTTTGATATTAAATTATACTAAGATTCTTTGCTAGTTGTACAATAGAATGTATACAAAAATTACTTCTACATGAAAACAATAACACTAATATTTAACCAAAAGATATTTTTTATTATTAATAATCAATTTATTTTCAGTTACATTTTGATACCAAACGCTATTTTAATTCCTCTTCCCATTATCATCTTGTTCTATTTCCTTTCTCACATATAACTGACCGAAAATAAACAACTTGAAATGTATTCTATTTTTAAGTATTCTTACAATAAATAATTATATTATTTCAAATTTATCCTTATATATTAATATTTTAAAAGTTAAAACTTATTACAACATTTCATTGTTCAATAACAGTAACATATTTAAACTAGATCTCCACTCAAACTAAGCACGAGTAGAAAAGACGTCTGACTGCAGAATTTTCATAATTCTCATATATGTTCATAGTTATTTTTTAAAATCTAATTTATCTCTTATTAATAAATGAAGTTGGACATTGATTGATTACGAATATCAATTGCATATTCCTTTATTAGAACATTATTGTTATTTTTATTTTGTATATATAGTAAATCTTCGAGACTCTTTCATGGATAAAGTTAATTTATACAAAACGATAATTAACGTGTATATGCATATAAGATGCGAGATATCAATGATCACTAGAATATTAAGTCATTTATAACTATATAAAGAAATTACCAGCTGTTAATTACCATTTATTTTTGTTCTTACATCTTCCGCACGGAGTCAAAGAAGAATGAATTTCAGATGTGCTCTACGCACATTCTCACGAGTTTGACAAGCTTTTTTGTGGGATGTGGGTGAATCTCTTCTTTTTGACCTCATCCACACTCACCCACACCAAAATCAGTTTTTTCAGTTTAGAAATTCTCAGTTACAGCTGATAGTTTGATGTAAAAAAAACCTTACAAGCATTTGTCTCATTACCATTTTGACGTAGATAAACATATATAATAAGTTAATCTAAGAAGACAATGACTTTATAAACTGTTCATTGATTGAAATATATAATTTTGTAGAATGCATCAATCTAGTCCAATA